CAGGTAACACTAGCCATTACTTGGCAATACATTTGATGGAGAATAAAAGAAGTGAGGAACATTTTTACTGATGTCTTCTACCTGCAATTTTCATCACAAAGCTATTAAAATAAATCAAAGTGCCATGTGTCTCAGACTAAGGAGACAACCCTCAATTTGGGAGACTTTAGAATGGGTAAGTACTCTACTTATTTCTAGTTACAGATAAAACAGAGACTTTAAGAGGTTAAATCTCACACCTGAGTTCACAAAGCTGGAAAGTGATATAATTAGGATTTGAATTCAGGATCTATGAGTGGAGCCCTAGGGCTTCATCAATATATCATCCCAGATAACCAGCAACTACTGTCTTCTGTGAATGACCAATGGAAATTTGTCTTCCTCCAACCACTCTGGCCATCTCAGTTTCTTGGTGCATTAGCAGCACATTCAGAAGAGAAAATGGAACCATCTGTCATGATTTGTTTTCAAAGAACCTAGGTTTACTCCTCTGAATGTCTGCTTCTCTTTCTTAGTGCTCACCTCTTTTTTATTAGGTTATATATAGCACAGCAGTAGGGGCTCAAGATAAACCAGATCAGGGAATTCTAGGAAGGTGACTTCAGCAAACCTTGTAGTCCATTAAAAAATAAGATTAATAAAATGTTATTATGTTTACATATGAGAATGTTTTTTACCTTTTAGAGACAATTGCTGAAATATTTAAGGACAGTTTGTTATGATGTCTATAATTTACTTTTTTAAAGCAGTAAAAAATAAATACATGAAGCGAGGACGTTAATTGTTAAATCTGAGTAATGATTTTATATTTATTTCTGTGTACCATTAATTATGTAAAAAATGTTTACATTAAATATTATAGTAAATATTTTTAAAAGTCAAGTAAAAAAGTAAGTAATGAGTATAGAACAAAGATTGAGGTACTGAATGCAATGGGAGGTTGCAAAGAGCTGTCATTTCTGGTGATGACAGTGATTATGACAACAGTAATCCTATTAAAACTCAAGACCACTTATGCTTTGTCTCCTTTAGTCTATGTCAATTCTATAAAGAGGGTGGTTTTCTCCATTTTATGAATAAGGCTGAGGCTCAGAGAGCTGAAAGGACTTGCTCCTGAGCTGCTTTCACCGATGCAGTGCCGTCCTCTGGCCGTAGGGAGCGCTGGGGCAGTGACTGAGTCGAAAGAATCCAGGACGTGGGGGAAGGCAGGCGAAGGCGCAGGGGGACTGACAACTTGCCGAATGGAGAGAAGGCCACAGTAGCAGGTCCCCGGGAGGCCTGAATATTTCAGTGAAATGATGAGGCTGTGGTTGGGGGAGGAAAAGTACTGGGGGGTGGTCCGTTTGCAGACTGTACCATGTATCTGGTATACTTGAAAGGGCCCGGGACTAATCAATGACTGTCGAAATTTCCAACAACGAGGAAGCAGTTGGGATACATGGAAAAGCATGTAAGTGGGATGGGAAGGACACCTTTTAAGCAGGAGTCTGGCTTCATTAACACAGGACACCGTATTACCTGTCTCATTCAGTTCTAAGGCTGATCAGAGGAAGGATTGCTAATGACTTCTCTCCAGCCCATAAGATTATTCTGACAGTGGGGTGTATTCTGACAGTGGGGAAGAATAACTTCCAATGGATTTTCTTTAGCCTTTCCAAAACCAACTCACTAATTTTTAATAATTACTTCCATTGAGCAGGGGGTACTGACCTAGGTTCAGTTGTTTCATTTCAAACTAGAATTTAATTTTAAGAGTTTGTGCTTGTTTGGGGGGAAAATATCCTGCGTAAGGAAAATTGCTCAACTGTGTGCTCTACTGGAATTCTGCTGGAGAGATTATCACAGCAAGCTGGTGTCCTGGAGGGGCAGAAACAGGCCATTTCTGTAAAATTGAAATTAGTTCATTTTAGTTTATAGCTTTTCCTTTAATTTTAAAATGGAAGTAGCTATTTTTAAAAGAAGGAAAGGAAGTCTAAATTGCTCTGCTAATCCAATGAAATATTGCCAAGAGGATAGAAGCAGACAACTGTGAGCCATGTGGGGGATCCTTTCCAAAGCTTGTTCTTATCTCTCTCCTCTGTTTTCATTAAAGCAAGTCCCAGAGATCAAATGAACCAGGGACCCGAGCTGAAGGCAAGTCTGCTTCGTCTCTGCCAGCAGCCCACTCACCGCTAGGCCAGGATGCAGGACACAGGTCCGAAGACTAGTAATCTCCTCCCCCTCCCAGGTCTCCATCGGGAGCCACCAGGGAGCAGCAGATGACTAAGTCACTCATCTGACTGCCTCCAGTTAGATACTTGCTTGCAAATGACTGGGAAAGCTCACAGGAAGGGAGGGAAGCACCAGAAACAACACTGGCACCAAGAACTCGCATTCCTGTGGCTTTATGACTCACAAAGTGCTTCACATGCATGCCTGTCTTTGCTCTTGCCTTTGGATGAGCATCTTCCATCCCAAACCCAGAGACACTGAGACAGGAATTTGTTCCCAAGCATACAGCTTGTTAGAAACATGGGCTTTGATAACAAACGCTCTGGCTCAAATCCTGCCTTTATTACTTATGAACTACGTGACCCTGGGAAATTACTTAACCTCGCTTTGACCCCATTTTGTCATCTGTAAAATGGAGCAAAGAACAGTATCCATTGCAAAGGGTGTTGTGAGGATCAAACAATAGGATGCATGTCAAGTATTAGGAACCTTCTGGCATATGGTATTCAATAAAGGCTGTCATTCCATTGATAAGACATTTTATGGCTCACAAAAGTCTATCCTGTTCAACTGTATTTATTAAGCATCAGAGACAAACACTGTGCTAAATTCTGGGGATGCTAGAGTAAACCACTCATGACCCCAGCCATCCCACAGGTCACAGGGCTAGCTAGCACAGACAGATGGACTCCCTCCATATAAAGTGATACTGTGAACAAAAAATTAGAGAGAGAATTTAGCGTAGACTAAGAAGGTTAGAAAGGGCTTCCTGAAGAAACATTCATTTCTGATTTTACCTTTACTAAAACCCTCTGAAAAAAGCTATTATTTTTGTCCAGTCTACAGATGAGTGAAATAAGCTTCAGAAAGGTCAAGGATTCCCAAGTTCCCTCAGCTGGTGAGTGGTGAGGCCAGGTCTCAGTCATACTGAACTACCTTCAGGGTCTATTCCCTGCGAATTGTTGTTGAGATAATAAGCTGTTCTGTTTTTTCTTCCCCACTGTCTTTCTTGTTTAAAAGGGAACTGTCATTCCTTCTGCCTCTCCCCTTTTCTCTCTGAAAAATGTAACACAGACAAGTTCTCTAAAATCCACACTCTGTAAGAGTCACAGAAGCCTAGCCTGGGAGGGACAATGATTTACCCTTAGGGATCTGGAGGGGCAGAGACATACATGCTGTTGAATCGTAGTTCTACCACTCACAAGCTCTATGACAACAGGCAAGCAACTTAACCTCACAGAGTCTTAGTTTTTCCATTCGTAAAGTGGAGCAATAATTAACTTCACCTTCTAGAATTGCCACGATGATTACATTAGCACAGTGTGTGGCACACAATAGTTGCTCAATAAACTCTCACTGTTAACTTCAGAGAAATGCCACTTAGTCCATCTATTTCACCCCTCTGTTCTGATCACACAAATCATCTGTCCATTCTATTTTTAAAGCCTTTCTAAGAAGGAGATTCTAGAGCTTCATGTGTGAAATATTCCAATGCTTCACCAATCGTGCTACCTGGGAATCCAACTCTTCCTTCCTCTGGTGATGGACAGGACTCCTCATGTTCTGAGATTGGTGTGGTGATAATGCAGGTAGCTGATCATAATATTGGGTGTGTTGTGCTCTTTATTTTCAAAGCACATTCACATGCTTCCCTTGTTGATCCTAAAACAACTGAGAGGGGTAAGGAAGGCAGGTATTATCCCCAGGTTAAGGATGAGGAATCTTAAGTATAAAGGGGGGGGGGGGTAAAAATAGGCACCATTGCTAAGCACTGATTAGGTCCCAGGTCTTTTATGCATATTATCTTATTTAAATTTCTTAAGAGCCCTCTCCAATAGGTGTTAGCAGTTCATTTTGCAGGAGGAGAAAATGAGACCCAGAAAGGGAAATCGGGTGTCCGACTTTCTCCAGGTAGTAGGTGGTAAAGCCGAATCTCAAGTCCAGGTCTGTCATACTCCAAAGCCAATAAGTTCAATCACGAACTTTTAAAGATTTGCTCAGCCCGTTGGTGACTGCCATGACATTCAAATCCAGAACTTCTGAGTCACAGTCCAGGGCACCTTTCATTAAACCACTCATTCAGTCCTTCTTGACCGGGCGAGGTGCAGGAGCTGGGCCCACCTGTGGTCCCATAGGCGCTGCTCACACAGGCTGCTTCCAGCTGCGCCATAGTCGTCCATCCATAGCTTCTGTCCACAGCTTCCTGGCCCATGCCTATAACTTTGGGGGTCCCAAGCATGAAGTCAGAGAGTAACAAATTGATGTGTATATAATACATTTCTATAATTTTAAAATAACATAATTTATATTATTTTACATATAATTTATATTATATATTTATATTACACATTATATTTTATATGTAACATATAAATACATCTATAACATCAACATATAAGTGTTTCTATAGAGAGATATACATCTATATACTGCATGCATTTAATGTACATACCTGTAAATGCTGCCAGCGTTTGCCAGACTCTCCAGCAAGAATATAGATTTGTCAGGCCAAACAAACTTCTCGGGGATTCACCAGCAGGATAGTTCTTTCAACATAGAGTTGAACGGGGGATAAAATGAAAGAGAAAAGGCACTGGGAGTTTCTTCTCTTCCTGAGTGTCCAGTCCATGTGGGTCGGTAGATACACACGCGCGCGCACACACACTCACGTGGAGGTGGGAGCAGGCTCTGAGCTGCAGGATGAATCCCAACCCTGTCCACTCATCCTGGGAGTATGTGCTTCTGTGGCTTCTGGAGCTGCTTCACTCACGCCTTTTCCATTTCACAAGGTGACGATGGTGAGAAAGGAGACCCGGGAGAGGAGGGGAAGCTTGGCAAAGTGGGACGCATGGGGCCGAAAGGTAGGTCAAATGGTATGAACCTGGCACTGACATGGGAGATTGCTCTTCTCCCTCCCTGGTGCTTGCCCTAGGAATCAGCAGCTTTCATAACACCCTTGGCCCCAAAGATGCGGAACGTGTATTTCAGATATAAAGTTCCTCGCCACCAGAGCCCTGATGGCTCGCCTGTCAACAAGACTCAGCCCCATTGCTCATACTTCAGCCTTAGGGGTCCCTGCAGTGGGACACTCTGGGAGCCCCGAGGAACAGCCGACTCTGAGAATATCTGGGAAACTATGAATTTTGGAAACACAGCTGTGTTCGTTGCTGTGTCTCCCCTTAGGAGCCACTGCCAAGCAGCTCTTTGTGGCTGCCCAGAGCTTAGGGATGAGCATAAGATGGAGCAGAAAATCGCTTGGTCCTTTGACGTTCTAGCCTTTCTCCAGCATCTGGTAGGGCATGGAGGGGAGTTGAAGCGAAGAGATGAGACTAATACAAAGGCTATTAGGGCGTAGTTTTACCCACAAGGCCAAAAGTAAGTCTCACCAAAGAACAGCTTCTGGATTGCGACATGTAAGCATGTGTCTTCCCTGCCGAATGTTACACAGTGGTGGCCTGAGACCGCTGATTTTTAAATCTTCATAATTTAAAGAAAGGAAGACACTCCCAGGCCTATGAGACCTCAACTTGAGATGCCCTTATGTAAACTCTTTTTGTACTATAAACATGTATAATATTCTATAAATCTGGAAGATCAGTTGCAAATTTTTGATCACGAAAATATAGCTTTATATTTGGCAAATATCACTTAGGTTATCATAGGAAAAAACTAAATTAACAACAATTTTGGAGCAATTTAGTGATCCCTGATCTTGGGTTTTTGGATAAAAACTTAGTGGGACAATCTCTTATGTTCCTTTGATGAGTAGGTTTTATGATTGTACATTACCACTCCTTTTTTAAGGTGGCTAAGATAATCCAATCCGGTTGTAAACAGAGGAGAAATAGGATCCCAAAGTGAAGCTGAAATGGACCTAGTGCAGCACAGAATTAGAATAAAATGCAAGAATTCTTCACTCAGCCCTCATCTGACCTTTAGATTAAATGTTTTTTGCTGTAGTCCTTTTAGAAATATTGCATCGGTAAGCATCTTAATATCAGCAGGTTCAGGATTGCCATACTTACCCACATTTTAATTTTAATGCATGCATTATAATGCTATTAAAATAGATAACATAGCACAGGATCTGTAAATATGCCACAGATAGGAGGATGCCCTTTTTGGTGTTTCCTTCAAGCAGATGCCATATATCAGCCACATTTTTAAAGGGAAGAGAACATGTTGGGATATAAAGATGACATGCTTTGCTTTGCTTTGCAGGAGTTAAGGGAGAGCTGGGCGACCTGGGAGACCAGGGCAATATTGGCAAGACCGGGCCCATTGGCAAGAAGGGTAAGTTGCATCTCCCAACTCTCCAAACAGCAATTTGAAGCAGATTTAGGGTACTCTTGATATATAGGAAAGGTTCTTTGGCATAAAATGATCTCTCTCTCTTTTTAAATACGTGTTCTTTTTCTTCATATCCTGGCTGTTCAGTAGTACAGAACAATTATTAACATAACCCAAGGTAGCAGAGGACAGTATAATTTTATTTCCGGAGTGGACTAATAATAATTCTGTGTCAGAGATCTATTAGGAGGACATGAACTTGAAATGTGTGTGTGTGTGTGTGCGCGTATGTGTATGAACATCTTTTTGTTTTCTGTCTTCTCCTGATTCTGTACATAATTACTGCTTCAGTACTGCAAATACCTCTATTACAAAACTAGAGGCAGGCTCCTTTTTATTACCTAAGCACTCTTCTCCTGTCTTCTCATAAAGGCCCACAGTCATAGCAGGTTCTAACTGCTTCTGAGACTCAGTAACTCGTCCAGGCATTGCTCCACTTGGTTTGAAGATACAAAACTCAATGAGAATCAAAATGCTACTGCAAGAGCTCGGACTCTTTAGGAGCACGGGGCTTTTTCAGGAAGAATTCTCATGCGGAATAACCCTCCGATACTGGAAGAACCCCCTGGGAGAGAGGACGAGATTGACAGGAAGACTTGACTTGACCTAGGTCTTGAAAGCAGTAAGCTGTTTATGGAAACGGGGAAAGGGCATGTGAGGGGGATACAAGAGAGTCGTGCAGAGGCATGGGTCGGGGAGACTTGGTGCCTCGGTGGTAGTCGCACCCTTCTTTACCCCCAGCCTTCCGCGTGGTCAGCAGCTGCTAATTCAACATGTGCCCCGGGCGGCTGTGTGCCCCTGGGGCACTGTTGGATGGGGCCTGTGCCCAGGCTGCGGCCTCTCCTGGCATCCTGCGGCTCAGTACTGCCCTGCCGTCTCTCTTCCAACTCATCCCTTTGAGAAATCTCCCTTGGTCTAAAAAGAAATCGCTCTGGTTATTTTTGACCCACTGGCTTGTATGTGTGGCCTGCGGCTGAAATCCCCACAGCCCAGGAAGAGCTACGTGGAAAACTGGGACCCAGGAGTCCTGCTGGGGAACCGTTGCGGTGGACTTGCCACGAAGCTCCGGAAGCCCTGGCTTCAGAGCCCCCCACTTGTGTGCATCCTTCCCAAAACCCCGCGAGGATCCTCAGCAATAGGGGCACGTGTCCTGGTAAAGTTGAAAAGTAAGACATTTTAACCTCAACTGGTTAAAATACTGCCTCTCAACGTTTTTAAAAACCAGTGCCCCACCCCAATCAATTTTTTAGACATATCACCCCAACAAGCTTTTTAGACCCATTTTTCCCAATTCCCCTCCATCCCCCATGAAATTTTACTACCACCCATGGGCTACATATTTCTTATGGACTGTGTGTGGAGTAAGATTCCATCTCCTCTCAAGAGCTGGCGTCTGCATCCTTGAGGTGGCATGTCCCCCCGAGAAGGCCCAGGTTAAGATTACCGTCTCCTTTGGCTTCAACTTCTCCTCATCATGTTTCTCCCTGTAGTAGGTGGTTTTTGGAGTGGATGCTAAGTGTTTGGGGAGCTAGCTAGGAAGAACTTGAGTGGGAGAAATATTTAGTTTGAACTTATTTATGTAGTTTGCAGTTACTTCCCTGTAGAGCTAACAATTCCAATGAAGGACTAGTTCCCAAGAAGCCCTGACCATTTACTGTCCAGATGGATCCAAAGTCATGATGAAAAAGTGGAGGGACAGAGATTGGATCATCATATGAATGTGTCCTGGGCCAGCCAGTGCAAGAAACATGTGGATTGTGGAAAAGAAACAAGTTTTGAAACAAATAAGGCCAATCTGCAGAAAAATTTTTCAAATCTAGCAGCTCGTATATGTAAAAAAGACTTTATGGAAGTATTCTTAAATTTGACAATATTCTTAATTTACCTACATTATCAATAGCAAGTTGTAAAGATAAAAGAAACTTCTTACACTGTTAATAATAGAAACAAAATGTAGATTTATGCTACAGGCCATGAGAGAATTACCTGCATTGATCCTGATGCTGGTCATTCTTAACAGAAAAATTAATGCAAGCAATTACCCCAAATGACCCTACTTTGATATGGAAAACAAAAAGTATAGGGGTGCGGGGGGCGGGGGGGGGAGATGGGAATTCCTTTGGAGTAAGAGTCCTCACCATGGTCAAAATAGCTCTGCACAAAATCTACCCTTGACCTTCCTGCCCTCATCTCCCCCAACACCTCACCTGGCACATGGTAGATGCTCAATAAATATGAATAAATTTTTAAAAAGAATGACTAGGTGAGTCAAAAAAAAGCCCAAAACATTTAAAGTCCTGAATAGGCTGCCAAATGGAATAGGACTTTAGAGTTCATAATCTGGAGGAGAAGGGAACCACTCCAAGGCAAGCTGTACACTCTCTACACACTACTTTTCCTCTCAACTCAGTCACCAGTTTGTAAGGAAGGAAGCGCTAAGAGACTGAGGCCTGGGAAGGAATGTTGTTCCAACACTGCACTGTTATTCAAGGCTGTGGAAGAAGACTGACCTTGGAAAGTGCCACTCCTTTTTATTTCAAAAATGAAAATTTCCAGTTAGAACTCCAGAAAATTCTGAAAAACATTTCATGAAGCATATACTCATTTGTGTTTAAAAAATCTTAGCAAACTGGGAATAGAGGGAAACACGTTTAGTATTTAAAGGAATGTTAACATCAACAACGATATAAGACTATGTAAAAATCATACACAAGAATGAAAGATTAAACACTTCTCTCCTGGAATTGGAGATGATGAACACAGCCCTCATCACTAATTTTAATCAACATTATAAAAGAAGTTCTAGCCAGACTAAAAATGCAAAAATAAGAGATAAGAATCATAATAGCTGGAAATAAAGGACTAGAAGGGACATTATTTGCAGATGGCATGATTACATGCCCAGAAAATACCAAAGAATCTACAGATTAATTGTTTGTATTGTTATTTTTTTAGATAGTTTAACATACCAAAAAAAAAACCATTTCTACATACCAGAAACTATTTTTAAATAAAATTTAAAAGGTGCCATTTATTATAGCATCAAAGTTATCAAACATCTGGGAATAAATTTAAAAGGATGGGTAAGCCCTCTACAACAAATGCTACGTAATGATGACAGAAATGACAGAATATCTAAGGAAATGGAGGTAAAACTACATTCACAGATTGGAAGTCTCCATATTAAGATATCAATTCTCTCTAAATAGATCTATAGATTCAATAATATCTCAATCAACATCCCAGAAGTAGTTCTCTTGGAATTTAATGAGCCAATTTAAAATTTATGTGGAAATGAAAAGGAACAAGAATACCTAAAGAAAATCTTGAAAAAGAAAAACAAAGCTGGGTGACTTAAATCACTGAATTTAAACATTTATTGTAAAGCTACAACTATGAAGGTAGAATCGATTTCATGCAGAGAACAAATAGATCAATGGGAAGGATTGGAGCATGCAGAAACAGACTCCCAAACCTGATTTATGCAAAGTTAACATTACTTTGCAATGGGAAATGATGAGCCTCTCAATAAATAGTGCTAGGTTAATTGAATGTGAATGCAGCCAAACATATGCAGCCCATAATGTATGAAAAAAAATAATTATAGAGGCACAGAATTCATTTTTTAATTAAAATTTTAGTGTACTCGGTAATGTGGTATTTGTCTGCTTTTAAGTTTTAGTGATTTGTTTTTATTTCTTATTAGTATTCATTTTTAGAACCACTTTTCTACTTGTAATTTAGTTTTTTAATTTTTATTTACTGATTTTAGAGAAAGAAGGGAAGGGGGAAGAGAGAGAGACATCTATTTGTTGTTCCACTTCTTCATGCATTCTTGGTCGATTCTTGTATGTGCCCTGACAGGAGACCGGGCCCACAGTCTTGGCATATGGAACACTGCTCTAACCAACTGAGCTACCTGGCCAGGGCCTTTGGTATTTTTCTTAATAAGGGCTCCTCAAATTGTATACGCTTCAGATAAAATTCATCATGGATCTGTTCCTGACTGTATCAGCTTCATTCAACAACTGGTTAAAGGAATGGGAAGGTGTAGCCGAAAAGTGGAATGTTGCACATCAAGATTTCTGAGATGCAGCCGTGTTAGATGAGGCGAAGGTCCCCAATATTGCCATGGACCGGGCAGAAGTGGAGGGGGAGGACGTCACTGCCATGAACACATCCAGAATTTCAATGAGTTACTCAAGACGTTGCATGATTCTAGACAGGAATGTGTTGGATCTAGATGGGACTCCAACTGGGAGAGATGGAGTTTATGATCGTGAGCCGAGTCTTAATCCTTTCATAGATTAAGACTAGGTCATTTCGGAGGGTGGTAGATGACAGAGACAAGGAAGGGTCAAGAGTTCAGTATGATTCTCTGGGTGTCAAAGTGGATGAGCTTCCACAAATGTAGGAAAACTTAAGTCTGGGAATGACAGACTAACCCTACCTTCCTCAGGACGGTCCCTCGTTCAACACCCAGTGCATTCCTCTGTCACTTCACTCATTGTCATGGCTTATTAGCTTGTCTGTTTTGCCCTCCAGACAGTAAACTTCTAGAGCGAACAAATGAATGAAATACTTATTGGGTCAATTTGCTTAAGTAAATATAAGCTCTATGTGGGTACCCTACTTTTTAATCATTTTATCCTAATGCTTATTATATAGTAGAAATATTCTAAATGTTTGTTGCATTAAGGATAAAAAATGAATAGTAAATACATTATTTCTAGTAATGTAGCCTCTTTTCTATCCTTTATTTCTTTAAGTACCGCTTTCCCTTAACATCAATTTTCACCATTGACTAAGATTTCTTTCTCCCCCAGAGATATGCCATCAAAATTTATGAGCATGTCCTGAAATTTCAAAAAAATGGAGGTTCACTGTTCTGGCTCACCTGGATTAATTTCATTTTTAATCTGTACTTTGAAATTTATTGCCCTCATTTTGTCAATGACCCTTCTAAATTTTTCACTGACTCAGATTAATCTCAACTTTCTGGACTGACCTTGATGTCACTTGCATGGACAGGTAGCTTTCTGGATATCAATATTTTATTTCATGAATAAGAAAGAATAGTATAGGGAAATTAAATCTCATAGCAAAATAAATGTTTTTACTTAAGGTCAATATCCTTTACAATGAAAGCATTATGTTTTTTTATTTGTTTAAATGCAACCTCTAATTCTTCAATTTTAAGACAGTTATTATAAACATGTTCCCACTCATGGACCAAAATAAATCTTCGTGTATGGCTTTAAACCAGAATGTGCCTGGGGGAAATAGACATTATAAGATCACATCCTCCATCAACTGGCTAAGAACTTGGTAAACTTACCTTTACCATAATTCTGATTTAGGAGGCAGAAGCTAACGTTGGTTGAGCATCTTCTGTGAGTCCAGCACAGAGATAATCCCATGATGAAATGACATCATTTAATCTATCTTCTTTAATGATCTTAGATATTAGGTACCATTATTTCTACTTTAAAAATCAGAAATGGAAGCTTAAAGAAATTCAGTAACCTGTCCACGTTTAGCTAGTAAGTGACAGAGCCAAGACTCAAGTCCTGGTTGTTTGGACTTTCATAGTCTTTCCACTGCACTGCACAGCTTTGCTTTTTCCAACTGTAAAAAAGAAAATGAATTTATGTTAAAATACTAGAAAGTCATCACAGTGCTTACATCTTTTCAGGAAAAAGAAAAAAGCAAATTATCAATTCAGGAATCTGTTTTCCACACTATTAAGATGTAGCTAAAAGCTATTGCTTCAATGAAGCTTTCTCTCCTCTGATCCAAGGCCATCTTTGCCCTCTCCAAATACCTACCAGGCATTTTCTTTATTTCGCTCTGTTAGTACGTGATGGTGATAGTGTCCCACCTCTTCAGTTCCTGATTGTGCTTTGTTTTCCTTAAAAAAAACAAAAAAACATTTTTTGTCAAAGCAAATATTCTGTTTATGCTTCTTTGATGTCCATCATGGGCTTAGCCCAGAACTAGGACCAATTTCCAGCCCATGTTAAATTGAAAGGGACTTACATATAAAGAAAATACACTTAAAATAATTAAAATAGTAAATCATATTCATATGATCTTTTAAGCCCAAGTGTTTTCAGTGGTGCTAAGGACCGGTATTCCTTTCAACTTTTGAGAACATTTTTTGAATACTTTGATTTCTTTCTTTAAATCATTGGTTAACTCATTTGGGAAGCACCCTGAACTGGGGAGTCAGAAATGGTTGGGCTTCGGCACCAGGAGTGCCACTGAATTGCTGCATGCCCTTGAGTATTGTGCCTCTTGGATCCTCAATTTCTGCAGTGGTGGAATACAAATAATGACAGTACCTAGCTCGTTGGATTTAATATGATAACATCTATAAATTATCCAGAACAGTACTTGGCAAATGATCCACACTTAGCAAATCTGTATTTCCTTTCTTTCATTAATGTATTCTCAAAATCTATTCTTATCTTTTCCAATTTAAGTATAAAGAGTGAAGAATTTGCAGGACACAACTTGGGTTGTGTCAGTCTTCTTCATCAGGGTGCTTGGCATATTCCCCTGCTTTCCCCCCACCTATACCTGTGCTGTACAAGGTCTTCCTTACAGTATTATCAGCACCCCATCGTCATAGACTTCACCATATCTCATTTCTTCCATGTGCACATTCTGAGGCGTCCTCCCACATAGTTAAACTGCATCTGGGTTTCAAAGACCCCCTCCTTCTGTTTGGAGAGCCCGTAAATGGCTGGCATCACTGTAAGGAAAAGTGTCCATGTGGGTTGATTTGGAAAGACTCAGCAAATCCTTGGGGCCCAGGTGTTCCTTTCTGGACTGTCAACAGTCAATACGTACAGGACTGTTAATAAAGAGCACTCAGCAAGGGTGTCCAATGCCACGGTTACTAGCCGCATGTGATTGTTTAAGCACTTGATATATGGCTGGTCCAAGCTGAGATAGATGTGCTATACGTGCAAAATAAATGTCAAATTTTGAGGACTTACTACCAAAAATGTAAAATATCCAATTAATATTTTTATATTGACTACTTATTGAAATGACAATATTTTGGATATATGCGTTAAATAATATATATTATTTAAAAATCGTTAAAGCACTAAGCAGACAATGATGAAGAGAACAGCTAATGGGCAGGCAACATGGGACACCCTGTGGGTTTTGGAAAGGCTCCTATTTTTTTCCCTTTTGGTGGGAAAGGATGGGGTTGGGCAGAACCTCAAGGCTGACTTTGTCACCCCTCACATGGCCCTCCGGGGTCAGATACACAATCCCCTGGCCATACCAAACTCCTACAAGGGTAAACCACATACTCCTCTCTAATCTAGATGACCTTTGCCTTGTATTTATCCCTCCTGAGTCCTTTCTTCTGTGCTCAGATCACCTTTGAAGCATAAACTCTATTATGCTTCTATCAGGGTCTTCTCTTTTGATTCTCAAGAACTTCGGCTAAACATTTCCTCTTGAAAAGCAAAGGCTTTTGCTTACCATGATTTTGTCTGATGTGGCCTTAAGAGCTTATTTTGAAGTAAAAAAAAAAAAAATCACCATTTTTTCTCTCTCTGCTTTATTAATCCTGATTCTCTAAGAATTATTTTGTGGATGCCTCTGACTGAATAAGAAAATGGTCACATACAAAGAAGAGCAGAAGGGAAAATTATCAAGGTCGATATTTCAGGATAGTATACATTTGACACTACTTTATTTATAGATATTTGCATACATCACATCTCTTTGAAAAATGTGTAAACTCTTTCAAGTCAGAAGTTTAATTTTGTCTCTTTATATCCTCTCAAAGTACCAAGCCTTCTGTCTTGCACAGAGTAAGTAAATAGTAAATGTTTGTTGAATTATGTTGAAAAAACACAACACATGTGTCTGAAAATCCAAGGGCAAAGCCAGATGGAGGAACTTTGGTGCACAATAGATACTGCAATGTGTTAATCAGTTGATCCGGATATACAAGACAATGGTTCTTTTAAATTAAAAACATGCAGAGAATTGTATTAGCCTTGCTCAGAAGGCCACATTGTAAACATATGTTTGTAGGGTAGGTGACACAAATTTTAATGTTTCTTACACATCCCACTGGAATTCTACATCCAATCTAAATCAATTATGACTTGTTCGATTAGTTGTACCCATGCAGCCAACTCTAAATCAAATTATGAATATAAAACCAAGGAATGCTGGTGGAAGATATTGCACGTTAATTTAAAAACCATTTCCTCTGATTTTAGCTGCACAGGATATTGTCTGCCTAAAACGATTATTTTAATTGTTGTTTTCTCGGCTATTGTTTCTATTCAGGTGACAAAGGGGAAAAGGGTTTGCCCGGGGTTCCTGGAGGAAAAGGCAAAGCAGGTAAGATTGCTAATCTTTCTCCTGAATTTCTGGCATTATTCCAAATGTATTTATCTCAAAAATAGCTGGGGGTTCTTTTATGGAAAACCAAGAATCTTTGCAGTGGACCTAACTTTATTTTACTCCGGTGGAGGAAAGGGAAGAAGGGGAATTTCCTCCCTACTTGCTGGTGACTTTCCAAGCCCCGGGGAAGGGGCGATGGCACATTCCATGCCAGCGCCGTCACTGTGAGGGAGCCGGCCCAGCGCAGCGCCTCGCATCGGGGAGCAGCTCGCTCTCTGACACCAGAGGAAAGTCCGCAGCGGCCTCGGCACCGGGACTCAGGGTGCCCCACATTCCACCAGCATCTCAGCCAGAAGCGAATTGGCCTGTCCCAGAGAGGCCTCGTGGTCACAGGACATGCCCTCCATGGCCATGGCCACTCTCCCCAAGGACCGAGAGCTTTATTTCCAGTGCTACCTGCAGGGAAATAAAGTTNCCTCGTGGTCACAGGACATGCCCTCCATGGCCATGGCCACTCTCCCCAAGGACCGAGAGCTTTATTTCCAGTGCTACCTGCAGGGAAAGAAAGTTGGGCGTTTGGGGGGCTTCCCTTGTTTCTGCCTACAAGGGCATAGTAAAGACAAATTCTAAGACCTGTTTTAAATGCCTTATATTTAACTGAGAATGTGGAGAGATAAAGCCACAAATCCCTCCCCCATTTGTCTAATAAACTTCTTTTTATTTTCAATCGCTTAAGAAGAAAGTGAACTGAAATGTTTATACAAAGCAGCCACCAAATAGAAAAGAAGAGAATCGTTTGAATGTCACATCATTTTCCTTACAATTCTGCCTCTGCCACAGTATCAGTAGGTATTTGAAAAGTCAGATGAGCCAAGGGGAATGAACGGCACGGATTAAAATCACAATTAACCCACAAATACAACAACTGGCTCTTGAAATAATAAGTTGAATCAGTTCACAAGATTTAAACTTGGTCCTCACAACATTCGAGCTGTACCCCAAATGGATCATCAGAACTTACATTTGATTTCATCACGAACGGCCTCTCCTGCCTGTGGAGAGCGGCANATGGCCTCTCTTGCCCTTGGAGAGCGGCGTGAGTGCGTGGACTCTGCAGTAACAGAAGAGAAGACTGGCTAGAAACCGGTTTTCAGAAAGCCGTTAAGATTTTAGTCTGAAATTGGAGAGTCCCGTCCTGTGTTCAACAAAAATGCCAAATAGTCCACAATGTGTGTGCAGTGGTTTGTCGTATTTACACTTCTTTTTAAAAAGATGGCTTGGAACTGTGTTTTAATTCACTCAGAATATTTTAAAAGATATATTCTGAATTCCTAAAGACAGTGTAATTTGGAAACCTTTTTTTTTAAATGAAAGATTAAAAGTATAGCTGCTCACAGAGAAACATAGTAGACTAGAAAAAGATAGTAAATACTGGGGAGAGAGTGATGGCTCCTTTCAACTGACCTGCATGTGTTTCAGCATGAATTCACAGCTTTTGTCATTTAAAAGGTACTGTCTGCGACTGTGGAAGATACCGGAAAGTTGTTGGGCAACTGGACATTAGCGTTGCTCGCCTCAAGACATCAATGAAGTTCGTCAAGAATGGTGAGGATGTTCTCCTTTGCTTTGTGCTATGTATTGATTCAGTCTCTTTCAACATCACAATTCCAGCAGGAAATGCCTGGGGTTGGGCAAAGGATTACTGAGATGGTGCCACCAGGTTAAAGGTTTCTCAAAATATTAATTATCCACTCCAACTCCAGGACACTTCAAGTCCACTACATATAGTCATACATGCTGCATTGCCTATGGGTAGAAAAAGTTACTTTCTGGAGGGAGGGGACATGGAAAAGGTCAGAGTTTGGTGGACCAGGCCTTAAGAGCAAAAAAGGGACAGCAGGACTCAGACAGAGCTATTGTCTCAAAAAATAGAAGTAACAGTAAAAACAATAGCTATTTCCTTGAGTACCTGGAATATTAATAATTGTGATATAACTGCTATGACTAAGAGGAAGCTTAGAAAGATGCCCTTGCCCATAGATTCAGAGCTAATGAACGGTGGAGCAGGGATTTGGACAGAGATTTCACTGATTCCTCTGCTCTCAGCCCAGACCAATAGGGACATTATGTGTCTCTTTAAATTTTGCAACTTTTCATATTAGTCATGTTTGTTACCCCCTGTCCATAGTTAGCAGCTAAGCCCTTGCGGTGGGGCTTGTGTGTTCCCTTCTGGGACAGTATGAATGAGGGAGCTACTGTTGTTAGTGTTACAGTGGGTTTCATTTACTGCAGTCCAGCTATATTTGTTGTACTTTATTGGAAGCACACAGATGCCATCTTGTGTTCACCCTTATCATGTAGTTCTAGAGACACAGGAAATGCTCAATATCAACTAACGATCCTAATTAGAGTTCTGGTTATAACCTGCACACAAGATGTGGTCTCTGCCCTGACTTGGACATTCATGAATAAACCAGACCCCGGAGGGTCAACATATGGCAATAGTTCTTAACATTTGAGTGGTCACAGATTTCTTTGTGAATTTTAACTCATGAANTTTTTTTTTAAATGAAAGATTAAAAGTATAGCTGCTCACAGAGAAACATAGTAGACTAGAAAAAGATAGTAAATACTGGGGAGAGAGTGATGGCTCCTTTCAACTGACCTGCATGTGTTTCAGCATGAATTCACAGCTTTTGTCATTTAAAAGGTACTGTCTGCGACTGTGGAAGATACCGGAAAGTTGTTGGGCAACTGGACATTAGCGTTGCTCGCCTCAAGACATCAATGAAGTTCGTCAAGAATGGTGAGGATGTTCTCCTTTGCTTTGTGCTATGTATTGATTCAGTCTCTTTCAACATCACAATTCCAGCAGGAAATGCCTGGGGTTGGGCAAAGGATTACTGAGATGGTGCCACCAGGTTAAAGGTTTCTCAAAATATTAATTATCCACTCCAACTCCAGGACACTTCAAGTCCACTACATATAGTCATACATGCTGCATTGCCTATGGGTAGAAAAAGTTACTTTCTGGAGGGAGGGGACATGGAAAAGGTCAGAGTTTGGTGGACCAGGCCTTAAGAGCAAAAAAGGGACAGCAGGACTCAGACAGAGCTATTGTCTCAAAAAATAGAAGTAACAGTAAAAACAATAGCTATTTCCTTGAGTACCTGGAATATTAATAATTGTGATATAACTGCTATGACTAAGAGGAAGCTTAGAAAGATGCCCTTGCCCATAGATTCAGAGCTAATGAACGGTGGAGCAGGGATTTGGACAGAGATTTCACTGATTCCTCTGCTCTCAGCCCAGACCAATAGGGACATTATGTGTCTCTTTAAATTTGCAACTTTTCATATTAGTCGTGTTTGTTACCCCCTGTCCATAGTTAGCAGCTAAGCCCTTGCAGTGGGGCTTGTGTGTTCCCTTCTGGGACAGTATGAATGAGGGAGCTACTGTTGTTAGTGTTACAGTGGGTTTCATTTACTGCAGTCCAGCTATATTTGTTGTACTTTATTGGAAGCACACAGATGCCATCTTGTGTTCACCCTTATCATGTAGTTCTAGAGACACAGGAAATGCTCAATATCAACTAACAATCCTAATTAGAGTTCTGGTTATAACCTGCACACAAGATGTGGTCTCTGCCCTGACTTGGACACTCATGAATAAACCAGACCCCGGAGGGTCAACATATGGCAATAGTTCTTAACATTTGAGTGGTCACAGATTTCTTTGTGAATTTTAACTTATGAACCCTAAAAAGTATATGTTAATGCCCCTGAAGCCCAAACACATATACCACACTATGAGCTCGGAATGATTCTGCATCCCCGGTTCCGTCTTGCAGCTCACTCAGCAGCTCAGTCTGCTTCATGTACCCGGAGTGACGNGCCTGGGGTTGGGCAAAGGATTACTGAGATGGTGCCACCAGGTTAAAGGTCTCTCAAAATACTAATTATCCACTCCAACTCCAAGACACTTCAAGTCCACTACATATAGTCATACATGCTGCATTGCCTATGGGTAGAAAAAGTTACTTTCTGGAGGGAGGGGACATGGAAAAGGTCAGAGTTTGGTGGACCAGGCCTTAAGAGCAAAAAAGGGACAGCAGGACTCAGACAGAGCTATTGTCTCAAAAAATAGAAGTAACAGTAAAAACAATAGCTATTTCCTTGAGTACCTGGAATATTAATAATTGTGATATAACTGCTATGACTAAGAGGAAGCTTAGAAAGATGCCCTTGCCCATAGATTCAGAGCTAATGAACGGTGGAGCAGGGATTTGGACAGAGATTTCACTGATTCCTCTGCTCTCAGCCCAGACCAATAGGGACATTATGTGTCTCTTTAAATTTGCAACTTTTCATATTAGTCGTGTTTGTTACCCCCTGTCCATAGTTAGCAGCTAAGCCCTTGCAGTGGGGCTTGTGTGTTCCCTTCTGGGACAGTATGAATGAGGGAGCTACTGTTGTTAGTGTTACAGTGGGTTTCATTTACTGCAGTCCAGCTATATTTGTTGTACTTTATTGGAAGCACACAGATGCCATCTTGTGTTCACCCTTATCATGTAGTTCTAGAGACACAGGAAATGCTCAATATCAACTAACGATCCTAATTAGAGTTCTGGTTATAACCTGCACACAAGATGTGGTCTCTGCCCTGACTTGGACATTCATGAATAAACCAGACCCCGGAGGGTCAACATATGGCAANGACACTTCAAGTCCACTACATATAGTCATACATGCTGCATTGCCTATGGGTAGAAAAAGTTACTTTCTGGAGGGAGGGGACATGGAAAAGGTCAGAGTTTGGTGGACCAGGCCTTAAGAGCAAAAAAGGGACAGCAGGACTCAGACAGAGCTATTGTCTCAAAAAATAGAAGTAACAGTAAAAACAATAGCTATTTCCTTGAGTACCTGGAATATTAATAATTGTGATATAACTGCTATGACTAAGAGGAAGCTTAGAAAGATGCCCTTGCCCATAGATTCAGAGCTAATGAACGGTGGAGCAGGGATTTGGACAGAGATTTCACTGATTCCTCTGCTCTCAGCCCAGACCAATAGGGACATTATGTGTCTCTTTAAATTTGCAACTTTTCATATTAGTCGTGTTTGTTACCCCCTGTCCATAGTTAGCAGCTAAGCCCTTGCAGTGGGGCTTGTGTGTTCCCTTCTGGGACAGTATGAATGAGGGAGCTACTGTTGTTAGTGTTACAGTGGGTTTCATTTACTGCAGTCCAGCTATATTTGTTGTACTTTATTGGAAGCACACAGATGCCATCTTGTGTTCACCCTTATCATGTAGTTCTAGAGACACAGGAAATGCTCAATATCAACTAACAATCCTAATTAGAGTTCTGGTTATAACCTGCACACAAGATGTGGTCTCTGCCCTGACTTGGACACTCATGAATAAACCAGACCCCGGAGGGTCAACATATGGCAATAGTTCTTAACATTTGAGTGGTCACAGATTTCTTTGTGAATTTTAACTTATGAACCCTAAAAAGTATATGTTAATGCCCCTGAAGCCCAAACACATATACCACACTATGAGCTCGGAATGATTCTGCATCCCCGGTTCCGTCTTGCAGCTCACTCAGCAGCTCAGTCTGCTTCATGTACCCGGAGTGACGTATAAACACTCAACAGAAGTACATGCTCACAGCCCAGGAATTCGGCCCGAAGTGGGAAAACTTCTGAATTATTCCCATATCAGTTTAATAAGCTTCTAGATGCCTTTGCAATGTTGGAAGCACTAAGGCTACACAGTGGCAAACGTTGGTTATCGTTGTCAAGATGCTCACAGTTTAAGAAGAGACACCCAAACAATTAGACTAGAATGTGCTGAGTATTAAGAAGTGGAAACACAGGGGACAAGAGACCCCAGTGGCTGGTCAGGGAAAGGCTTCTGTGGGATAAATCACTTACACTGAGATGGATAGGCTGAGTAGGAGTTTTCCAGGTAGAGAAGCAGTGAGAATTCCCAGCATGAAAAGCATGGACACGGAAGAGAGAAGGGCAAGCTCATGGGACTGTACGTTTGGCAGGAGCAGGAGCTAGGATGGGAAAAGTAGTCTGAGATGAGCTGGGTGGCAGTTCATGTAACAACTGTGTCAAAACAGCTCTCCGCTTCAGAGTCGTGTGGGAAGTTAAAAAGGAATGGCAGGGGGGCCAAGTGGTAGGAGTTCTTTCTCCAGTTGATAACTAGAAAGGGGGAGAAAATGTTAAGGCAGTGCCAGCCTCATCACAGGGCCTCGCCAAATAACTGTAGACTTCTGAAGAAATGAACTTAAATCCAGAAATATTATATGCTTGCCTTTTCTCTTTTTGAGAGACATAATCCCACTCTTCCTCTCTGCAAAGTCATCGCAGGGATCAGGGAAACAGACGAGAAATTCTACTACATCGTGCAGGAGGAGAAGAGCTACCGGGAGTCCCTGACCCACTGCCGGATCCGCGGCGGCATGCTGGCCATGCCCAAGGACGAAGCGGTCAACACGCTCATCGCCGACTATGTCGCCAAGAGTGGCTTCTTCCGGGTCTTCATCGGGGTGAATGACCTCGAGAGGGAGGGCCAGTACGTGTTCACAGACAACACCCCGCTGCAGAACTACAGCAACTGGAAGGAGGGGGCCCCCAGCGACCCCTACGGCCACGAGGACTGTGTGGAGATGCTGAGCTCAGGCAGGTGGAACGACACGGAGTGCCACCTTACCATGTACTTTGTCTGCGAGTTTGCCAAGAAGAAAAAGTAGCTTCCCTCGTGCTACACGGTGGCCGTTCCCTGTGACTGTCACTGCTGTTCTTTTCATGCATCCTTTTGTTCCTAGTTACGCGAAATTTATCCTGAGTCGGGACAAGTGGGCAATGCTAAGCTGAGGTTTGGAATCTCCGTCACCATGTTCTTAGGTGACAGTTTTAAGCGTTTTCGGACATGGCATAGTATTGCACCAACAGCTCACCGAGTCCCATGGGTCTCAAGAGAGAGTTTGCTGTTGTTAGTTGTGCAGGAGGTAATTGTTTATGCCTCAAATGAAATGTTCTCTTGGCATTTGCTCTGTCCCCTCTCTCTAAACCGCTCCCTACCTAGCCCAGTGGATAATTGGGTCAGTTGGTTGGTGCGGATTAGGATAATCTGCTGTTGCTCAAAGTCAGACATAGGGGAGGGTCTTCTGTTTCTAGAAATGCCAAGGTATTATCTGTCTTTGAATCTGAGATCCCCAGTTCTTTGACTGGTCATCTGCCATAGCCATACCCACACTTGCAAGGTGCCCACAAACATAGAAACATTTTGACGCCAACCTCAATATGAGGAACTTCTAGTCCAGTGACCTGCTCCAGGCCATATGGAATCACACAGGCTCCTTTTGTGTTTCTGACCTATAATCTTCACTGAAGAATATCAGCAGTTGCCCTGGTTCCCTTCCTGTAGGCCCACAACTTACTCCCTCAGATAATTAACTCTCTGATGTGAGGGAAAGGAACCTTTAGAAATTAAAAAGAACAAAAAAAGAGAGGGTTTGTTCTCAAACAGTATGGTTTATAATCTTCCTGCTGAATTGCTCCCTGCTATCAATATGGCTCCATTTCTCCTTGTCTTAGGTTGACTCATATCAACTTTCCTCCCTTAATCATGGAGAATGATGCATGGGGTTCGTGAAGCCTTCAGAAAACTCTAGAAGCTTCCAGGTGCTACCAACGTCAAGTCTCTAAATCCCCTCCTCCCTACCTCTAATGTGTCACTCAGGGTGACATTTTGTAGGAGGCCCTTTACTTCCATAACTATGTTATAAAAACACCCCACAGCAGTGATGCCCTTTCTAGTACTCTGACATCACCGGAATGTGTCAGGCTTGGAACTTGGAACATGCCTAGGCCTCACATTTACTGAGCTGATGAAATTCTACTTTGAACTACAGATCAAGCCTCTAAGCAGCTTTCATTTGGAATCTAAAAGTAATCAGCTCAACAAAACTCCAGTTCACCCTTTTTTAAATTGCTGCTCCAGTTATAGTTTGTGACATATGATCAGACTCTTTAAAATGCTGGCAAAACTGTTAATGAACTTAGAGAAACACATCAACAACAGATGTTCACCTTAAGCCGTCTGTTCATGATTTCATCCATGACTAACTGGTTATGAGATAGGATTTAATCAGGTTATTTCTGTGGGTTTAACGAGGGTCACAAACTCAAGTACTGCAGGGGCCATACAGATGACATAAATAAATGAGGTGGAGCAGGTTGGGATCCTGATCCACTGAAAACAGCTTGCCCATCTGAAGGAACCAGCGGCTCCTCGGTGGCTGTTATTTTTGCCATGGAAGACCCAATGTCACTGCATGTCCTGATATTTCAAGAGAAATCAGAGATCTGGAATTTTAGAAGATATCTTTATATTTTTCAAAGTTGGCATCTAATCTATTTTTAACCCAAATTTTAAGCCGTACAAAACCGTCTGCTAGCCAAAATCGTGACCTTTCCACTTCTTACCTCTTAGGTAAAGTTCTAAAGTTTCTAACCATAGTGAATGTCATTAGGATACAGTGACATCAGAGTCAAGATCACCCATTAATACCTCATTCAGTTCAGCTCAATCACAGGAATTTCTTCAATGTTTGCCACTCATCAAGTTAATAAACTAGTTACTTATTCAGGCTTTTGAGACTGTGGCTTATGATATTTTGAAGGCAGGAAGTTTAATAAAAATTACAAAGAGAACACTATTACCAAAACCAGTATCTTTGGGTAGAATGCCAGCCAAGAGCATGAGGCACAAGGCTCTAGAAATGCTTGGAGAAAAGAAGTGAGGAGAGGGGAAATGGACGGTAAACCTTGCCTAAGATCTCCATTAGGATTGATATTCTAATTTGCTCTGAGACCCTAAAGTATAATTATTTGTTGTGTGTATTGTAAGTGCTATTGTGATTTCTATTATGATTATTATAATAATAACAGCATTTTCCATGGCTCATCTTTGCTGCCAATGCTTCCAAGAGAAAATCGCAGAGCTTCAAAGGATAGGACTCATCATTCCACCTTGCCTGGAAGAAATTTTGAAGGCACCACACACTTAATTAGATTTATTATGAAACTTGCTTTGTGTTTTACAAAATAAACACCTTCACATATCATATCTCATGTCATTTTGAATGGAGATGAAAGGAAAGGAAGAATTTGCCACAGATGTTGTACACATAAATCTTTTCATAAATATTGGACATTCTTTTATTGCACCCCTAACAGATGGTCATGCAGTCCATATTTGAATGTTTTTGGTAATTTGCTAACCTCATTAGAAAGTTTTTCCTTATAGTGAACCTCCCTCCAATTTCTACCCATTGTCCTGCCTTTTGCTATTGATAACTCTGAGAGGTCTGGCCCTGAGATAAGCTGGGGCAACCTATTAATAAAAGTACAAATGGGTTAGGGGCTGCTGTCCTCACTATGGGACTGGTTACTTAAGTGGATATCTGGTTTTATACATTTCACTAAATCTAGATGGTATGGCCCACATCCATTGTACTCAAATTTTGAATTGATAAAGGCGTGAGAGGCACAGATGTAGAGCATGAATAATATTCATAGTCCTGGGGGGGCATCTCAATCATAAATAATATATTTATTATGAGGGGTACATGGTGGACACGGTTCGAGCCCCAGGGGAGGAGGCTGTTGAGAGGTAGATGGTTTGGTAAAGCCCCACTGAGAGGGTTCAGGGCAGGTGTCCAGGGCCAGTGGGAGAATTCAGTCAAAATCAGAGGCCAGGTGCATGAAGCCTACAGGGTGAGCAACTGGCCTAGGTAGCTCGCTGAGTTCATTAACTCACTAATTCGTCAGATATATTTGAGGGGCATTTAATATGTGTTAAGAGACAGTGTGATAAAGGCTGGAGACACAGTGGAAAAGAAGGCCGGTCAGGTGGGCAGAACTCCCCTCGGGTTCATCAAGCCTACCACGCTGAGACCCAAGACCTAATCTGTTACCAGGGATGGAACCTCTCCACCTGTTCTATTTCTATGCCTCCTTCCTCTGCAACATAACAACCCTTCAAAGATACGCTGAAATCAGTGGGACAAGGGAATTTTTTGAAAAAGTAGCACATTACCCTTTCTTAAAGAGCAGCACTGATGCATCTCTTCTAGTACATTTATGCACGCATTTGGGCCGACCCGCGATGGGAACTGAAGGTTCCTATATCAATGTGCATAGTCACTCACACCATTTCCTCACCAGAGGGGACACACTCCTGTGCTTGTGCGTGAGTGAACTTTGACACCTGGCAAATGTTCCCTCGCCTTATCTTTTCCTGGTGACCTACACCTGATATTCAGTGAAACCCAGATTGCCATAGATTGTCAAATTTGTGATAAAATAAGGACAGGTAGGAGGAAGAGAGAAATGATTCAGACATTTTATAATTTATTAAAATGTGAGGACAGCAACCCCGCATCAATCACCATGTTGGAGTCTACAGTTGGGAGATAATACAGATTAATGTGCGTCCGTGCGATTTTAAAGCTAGATCACCCTTTGACATATGCATTACTCACTTTAGAACCCTTAAACAGACTAATTTATCAAAAGTTAAGCCTTACTGTGTGTAAACCTGGTTGATGGGCCTTTGGGAGAGGGATGGAGATAAGAACTGGCTACAACCCACCCCTTGATATATTGATAGAATATTAGTCCCAAGGAAGAGTTCTCGTGTGCTCTGTCATGATGTGTGAAAAAGCCAGGCATTTTCCCAAGTCTTGAGAAAATGAAATAAGGGGAGACATAATTGCAAATCACATTCAATTTAAATCCAAAAAGTCTAAGTGAATATTTTTACACAGACATATAGTTGACATAATATAGAATTGTGGGAGAATCTTCCTTAACAGATCACAGTTTCACATGGATATTTCCTGAATTGACTTGGAGAAGATGACTCTGGAGAAAGCTTACCAGGAGAAGCAGATATGTTTTAGAAGTGGGTGCTTTTTCGAAATGTATATGCTTTAAAATGTTTTTCCCCAAATCCTCTGTTTTATATGATCTTATCTTTGATTTTGCTGGTCTTGATACTTTTCAGGCACTCAACCTCCAGGATGGGTGAAGGATTTTTGTACTGACACTTACAAGCAGCAAAGTTCTCTCTTCCACAGAATAGGGACTTTGTTCTTGCCCTAAAGGACCTTCGGACTTAAAGAACAGGATGAACAAACAGGAAGCTATTTCCAATTTGTACTCCACATTTGAGAAAGAAGAAATCAATTGATATATCCAAAAATACATTTTGAGACATTGGAATATCAAAAACACAGTTTTTTAAAGAAGCTTGAAAATATTTCTTCTGGGTTTCCTAACACAAAACACCCTTGCATAGAGAGATCTTATAAAGAGTAGGCAGGGGTAAAATATATTTTCACATCTCCACCTTTGGAAGTGCAAAACAAAAACTACCTAAGCTCTTCTTTCCTCGGGTACTCTGTCTTATTGGGGACAGGATGGGGCATTATACTGCTGCTTCTCTTTCAAAAAGTTGTGCATAAATTTCCCTCGTTCTTACATTTTCAATAATTCAGTAGCTCTATATGCACTAATGTTCTGGCCTCACTGGTTCGTGCTTCTGTGAATTATCTAGATAATATTTGCAGGGTGAAATTGCACACAAGCAAAGGATGTGCTCCTCTGATCACCACAATCAAGCCCTCAGTTCCCTATGAACAGAAATTACATGATACCTGGGTCCTGGTGTGCAAACTCCTTGTATTGGAAATCTTTACTGTTAAATTGTCAGCAACCACTCCCAAATAATGTACATGCTTGGGATTCTGAAACACCCTTGCATTTCATGTAATCCTATGGTCTTTTATTTCCTGAAAATATGTAGCCATAGTTGGAAAATACTCTCACCCTTTGCAGAAGCATAATTACCACATAGCTATTAGGATTATAGGTGCTTAGCTCCTTTACTCTTAACATGGCTTCTTCCACTGACACCCAATTATGAGGAGTAAAAGGCAATTTCATGTTATTTTGTGCAAAGTTCTGGATGTAAACCCACCCTCATTTAGGTTTATATGCTCAATGCCCATAAGAAATCATTGGTTAGACCTTAGTGAATCTCCTTCCCATCAAGGAAGGGTTGAATGAAGTCCACCTCAACCAGAAAACCAATGCCCTGATTCATATCCCAGCTCCCAGGAATATTTGTCCTGGAAGAAAGCCATTTTATGGGTATACTGCGTAGCTTAGGTCTTAAACATTTCTCATCATACTCCTACTGGAAGACATCGGCTGCGACTGCTTCCTGTGGTAAAGGACAATGCAGAAAACATTTGGTGGCAGACAGCAGGAGAAGCTGGGCCACCCACTGGACTTTAGAATCTCCAAGGATGAAATCTTTGAGACTGTGTCACATTTGACTATTTTCTGCAGCCCAGTTCTTCCAGGGCTTACCTCAGAAATCTCATGTTTAATCAACTACATTTTCCTTAAAGATGCCCGGTGGCCACTGGGATTTCCGCCAGTGCCCCTCTGACCTATGTAACCAACAATTCCACGTACTCCCCCTTTGATTTACTGATGCTTTCCCGGGACTTGTGGGCCTCTGCTTTCTGTCTCTGCTCTCATTGTCAAGATGAGTCCCTGAAAAGAATTAAGGTCAACAAAAACACAGAAAAGATGATATGGAACAGGGCAATCGAGAAAAGACATTTTACTGTCCTTCCTCTCTGCTAATCTTGCTCTCTCCAACTATTGTAGGACAAGAAAGAAGAGTTAGTCTCTACTCGCCTCCTTTTGAGTCCATCAACAGAAATCCCTCTTTTTCTTTCATTAGTGGAAGGTGCTCAATAAGAGTCTTTGATTCTTTCACCGCCATGAGCCAGCTTAGCACTAGTTCACTCTGACATGAGGCAAGTGATGTACTATCCTTGGTTCCTCTCCTCCCACATAACCTATTAGATCATTTTCACCATCTGGCTCATGACATTAAACATCTTAGATTATATCGAAGAAATCAGGAATGAATTCAAGAACTGAAGAAATAGAACTCATTGATATTTTATTAATAATCAAGAGTAATATCTACCAAATGAGACATTCGAGCAAGTTTCCTTTTTATTTCTCACCAGAATTTACTCCAAATAGTGGTAATACTCAGCACCCCACATGAGGCGAGTAATACACTATGTCTGAGAAGTCCTGAGCAGCCACGTTTCCTTGTATTCAAAAGGCCTTGTCAGAAACAACTTATGCTACAATATAAGATGCTAATTCTGCAACTCAGCAAGCCATGTTACACATGCGTGAAGATCAGGTTCCAGAACTTGAAATTCCAACTTTCCAATTTCACTTTACTTGAGTCTGTGTCATAAGATATAGATATTTCTGTTTATCTTTCTTAGAGACTTTAATGGACAGTCCTGGCTGAAGCATATCACAGCAATCATGGGCGTTAGAGATAGGATTTGAAGGTACAGAAATAGGTGAGGTTGCTTAGGGGAAAATGTTGAGTGAGGAGAGAAGATATCCCAGGTCTGAGATCTGAGTTACTCTAATATGTAAAGGTTGAGAAGAAGGAAAGGGGTGGGTTTCTTAAGGTACATTGATAAAGAGTAGTGAGAGAAGTAGTCGTGGAATCAGAAATGTTTCAAAAAGAAGGGAGCACTCAACTCTATTGAATGTCCCTGAGAGCCCAATTAAAAACAGCAGTTAAAAAGTACCTATTGACTTTGTTAACATGAAGTCATAAAGGAACTTAGCAAGAGAAGTCTGAGTAGTACTGAGGGAGGCAGAAGACAAAGTAGAGTTGGGTTGATGGGGAAATGGGCTGCAAAAGAAGTAGAGATGGTATTCATAGGATACGTTCAGGAAGCTTGCCTTGCCCATAAAGGAAAGTTAAAACAATAGGATCAAGAACGCAGGTTGGATACTGTCAATCAAAATAATAATAACTGATATAACTTGAGTGCTAGGCTAAGCAAGCATTTGATATGTGGTTTGCTTTAGTGCACAAATCAACCGAATGTGGCACATATTATTACTATCTCCATTTTACCTTTGAGTACACTGAGACAGAGATCAAGTAACATCCCCAAAGTCCCCCTGTGGCATTTTGGTGCAGCCGGTGCAGTCACACTACGATAGTGGGTGTATCC